CATATCAGACTCCGGTGTTCAGCTAACGGGGCTAACACTACATAGAGCAGACAGGGAGGCTGCATCATCTGGTAAGCTCCGGCAATAAACACAAACAATTCATGGTGCTGTGATGTGAAGAGGATCTCCCAGTTCTGCTCTCAGGATGTGGAGTTTTTGACTGCGAAATGTCGACCCTTTTTATCCAACTATTGCGCTATATGTTCTTTCTTATATGGCGGACAAATTGTTTTTTAAATGTTTTGTTTCTTTTTGCTTGGGGTATACGACATGTCAGTTCATTTTTTTGTGATGTGCATAAAAATGACAAATAAAGAAGTTCAGTTCTTAACGTGATATATGACAACACAGCATCCATTTGCTAATGGCGAACGTTAGCCTACTGTAGCGTAGCCTCTGAAACATTAACGTTATCGTCCTTGTGTGTTTCCACTTACTAGTAACGTTAACGCTACTATCTAACGTTAGCACTGTAACCTTATTCTAAAACTCATCAGTCATCACTGACTGGTTGAGTTTTAAAACTCCAGGGTTGCATTTGTAACGTTACACATGCTCACCTGTTCCTTGTATCTAACGTTACCTTGCCAACGCCTACGTCTATCATAGGTGTAATGAGGACATAATGGAGGAGGGCGGAGTAGGCCTTTAGAGGGAGGTGGAGTTGCAGGAGGAGGGGGATGGGACTTTGGAGGGAGGCGGGAGTTGTGGATGTTCACATTTTTTCTAAGTGCTGTGTGAAATGCAAGAAAGGTAAGAGTTACTTTAATATGTCAAAGTATGAGAAACTCTCAAAATAATGAGTTAGTATCTCAAACCAATGACTTGTCTCAAAATAACTAAAAAAAATCCCTAGTATCGAAACCCTTTGATGCATGAATTATGACTATTTCGGTCAAGTGTTTGTATTCCTCTTTAAACATGCATTTTTCAAGCAGTTTTTTACATGTCCATTCAGGTGGACAGCATGCATTTAAGTTTTCAACTGAAGAAATATAAAACAAAAAATATGTATCATGTGAAACTACAAAATGTATTGTTAATGCTGTTAGTGTGTTCACATATTTTGATATACTCCATTACTGTTCAATGCTTCTGACTCCTCAGCCTCCCCCCTCTTTCTACACCTCCCCCTCCCTCATTCAGCTCCTTCCTCTTGACTCCTCAGACCCTCACACACCTCCCTGTTAAACTATAGTTTTTTAGTGTAAGGTTTTCTACAAAAATACAAAAATCTTGTCAAAATATTGTTACAAAAACTGCAAGTTACATTCTAATAACATAAATCAATTTATTTACAGTCCAAAAAGTCACTGCAGAAAAAAATACATCTAAAAATATAGCCAGTGCTGCATGATGTCCAGTTTAGTGGACAGATGATTAATTCTAATTTCCTACTTGAACATTTCAACAACTGTATTACTTCTAAGATGTAACTTGATGTTTACAATTTTTATTTACCAGTGAGGTCTACTTTTGTAGTAACATTGGCAATAAATTCCTGATCTGCACAGCATTTCTTGCTTTCTGTCGGCCATCTTGGTTTTGAGAGATTTTTGTTGTACTTACAACACCTGGCCAGTGGGTGGCAGTGGGAGCCAGACTGGAATCCAGAATGACTACGTGTCTCATAATAATCACTTATCTCAACTAATGAGTTAGTATGTCAAAAGAATGAGAAACTCTTGGGATAATGAGTTAGTATCTCAAATTAATGACATACCATAAGCCATTTAGCTATCTAGCTAGCAGCCTTATCTAGCCAAGAAGTCCGCAGTGTGCTTGCTAAACTAAGCTAAGCGTGGACAATTGCAGGGGTGGGATTAAGCAAATGCTAAAACTGTAATATAAAAAAGTTAAAAGCTTAAAGGATTCACATACCACCTTTAAACTGCTACTGTTTTCTATTTAATTCCCCTCAAAACATCTCTAAAATATAAAATGTCTCACTGTATCAGCTTCTTACAATTCCAAGCAGTGACAGTATATAAACTCAGTCCTTATGACAGAAACCCTTAGTACAATAATAAAGTAACCAGCCAGCACCAGAAATAGTGAATAAACATCAGCAGTGACAAACAGACACAGGTGCATGCTAAGCAGGCAGTGGGTGATGAACTAACTGATGTTCACGTTGAGCCAAAAATAAAAACACGCCAAACACTGCAGAGCTACAAACACTACACTCCCAACCTATCGAGTGGCTGCTGCTCATCACGTAGAGATACCGCAAACACAGATTCAGATCAGTCAGGAATATATTTAAAACATCTTTAATTGTGCGGTTACAAAATTCAGACTGTGTAGAAAAAATATCTTTTAAACATCTAGCTCATTAACAAGAGAGTGAGTGCTGTACCGTAGATTTGAAATACAGTGTTGTAGTTTTAAAGTGATATTCCCTGATATTACTTTTGCTACACATATTCTCATGTGTTCTGACCCAATATCGGCTGTTCCAGGTGTCGGTGTGGTGATACTCTCTCCTCCCTCATCGTCTTGCTGCAAACTCTTCCAACACACGCAAAGTTAACTGGGGCAATGTTGTGTTCCAAGTTGTTTTCTCCAGATTTGTGTGTGTGCTTTTTGAGATGCAATTTTCAGCTTTTTTTGGGTGCAGAAAATAGCGTCAGAAAAGCTGGAACAACAACAGCAGCAGCAGCTCTGGCTCACACCTCAGGGCCACCTGAGAGGCAGCGAGTCTGAGGCTGATTCCTGCCTCCAGAGAGAGAGAAATATCACTTTAAAAACAGATACACAGTGTAAACAGCACAACGCATAGAAAATCTGTAGCCCTGTAGACAAGTAAAGACAAATATATTTTCATATGTTTACATTTTTGTTTAACAATAAATAGAAAGATTCTTTATGATGCTGCTGGTAGGGGACAGAAAATGTTCCCTATTACAGTTTAACAAATCTTTTCCTGGCCATAAACTCTTTACAGTATTTGAAACATCAAGACAGTCATTACTAAAACTGACCAATTAACAACAATGATGTAGTGTAACACTTCTCCATGTACAGTTCAGCATAGTGTAGAAAATATGGGAAAAAAAGAGAGAAACAATTATTTTAATTTTAACAGTCACTGAATACCTGATATTGAAATTTAAACACCACTACATTCATAACATCTAAATATTTACTTTGACAACCATGCATTTGATTTTATTTGTTCATGGATCCCTTTTTTTAAAATTACAATATAAAATTTCTTGATTTGAATATTTTTGTTTCAATGTTCACAAATTCAGATCCAAAAATTCAACTTTCAGAATTTTCAAAAGCAGATTCAGGCTGCTAAAATGTGATTGGTTGATTTCAGATTCAAAATTTCATTTTTCCAAATTTCCAAAAGTAGATTTGGGTAGCTAAAATCTGATCGGCTAGTTTCAAGATCCAAAATTCAAGATTTTTTATATATATTTTTTTAATTTTGGATCTGAATTTGTGGACATTGCTAAAATTCGTTTGGTTGAATTCAGGTCCAAAATTCAAGTATTTTTTTTTTTAACTTTTGGATCTAAATTTGTGAACATTGGAAAAAAAAATCTGAAATTGCAAATTAATAAAATTAATATTCTAATTTTAAAAGGTGAATTCAGAACAAATAGATTCAAATACAGGATTTTTAAAATTAAGTATTTCAATGCTATGAATTCATTGATATTTATTTCAATATTAAAGCAGCTGTGCGGAACTTTTTACCATTAATAAAACTGTCCCTAGTTCGTATCACCCCCCCTTGAAGATCCACATATTTATTTGAACCCAACAGCGTCAAAAAAGCCTTTCTCTATATGGCTGTTTAGCGTAGCCTCGCTCGGGTCGGACACATAGCGGAAGTCAGCAAACCAGAACACGGCACCCGAGGCGGAAGTAATTCTGCTCGCCTGCAGCAGCCCGCAGCCATTAAATCACAGAAGAAGAAGGAGCCATGTTTACAGAGAATGTTCTCCAAGTAAGCGGTACGCAACGGGCAGAACACATAACAGTTTTACCAGAGATGTATCTATGAAGACTTGGTTGTACTTTTGATGTCATGGCAGATAACGAAGGAGCACCATCTAAAAGAAAAAGAACAGAAGAAGGCTAAACGGGACAGTGACAGAGCTCGAGCCAAAACGCGTGTAAACCTCGGTCGGCCATTCACCAAGTGGAGAGAGCTGAGAGATTTGAAAGGTTTTAAAACTGATCCTGAGTTGGCCCTTTTCCTAATCGACAGGTATGTAATTTTTGTTTTTATTTAGAGAATATACCGCGACTTGTTAGACGTTGTTTCACTTCAATATATGACGACATGGAAATTATAAGCAAGCTAAATGTAGCTGATGTGAACCACTTTTGTCTAGTAACATTACAACAAACACCACAAAATTATCTGTGACCTCTGACCATGAACACAAATATACAGCAGGCAGTTGTCCTCAGTTTATAAGAAATTCAGAGCTACACCAGAACATTTATGAACAGGTCTTACTTTACTACTAACTTGTGTGTAACGTTAGCATGTTAGCATGTTTCCACTAATTACTTGGACTGACCTAATGTTAGTAGCGTTAGCTTTGCAAGCAAAGGCTGCAGGTAACAGCTTTGCTGTGTTAGGATTAGATCAGAACAGTAACACGACAGGAGAGTTTACCGGGTCATTTTGCTGTTTCCACTAACTACTTGGACTGACCTGACGTTAGTTAATCCTCTCGCTCTCCAAAACAAATACATGCAGTAATTGCCGGCTGCAGTCGAGATTTTACGACACCAGGCTGTGGGTGTCATACCGCTTCGACCAAAGGGGCGCTATAATCAACAAAAACGAAAAGTTCCGCACAGCTGTTTTAAGTATTCAATAGTTGTTAAAAATTAAAATAATTTTGTCTCTTATTTGCTTCCATAGTTAACTTTAAACGGATCAAATTTAAAGCACTCAGCTGTGAAAAGCCACTTAAGACCTCCACCTTTGTTTACACTACAAAACCGAAGGTGCAAAAATACATGAAAACATTTTATGGTCATTTTTAATGGCGGCGTGTATACAAATCCATTATTCAGTAATAGACATTAACATTTATAAGGTTATAGCGGACATATTTACATTCTTTGTCAATTAAAAGCATCTCAGTCGGACACATGGGAGTCCATACTGTCTAACACTGATATTAACAATAAAAAATAAAGTCTACAGTGAAGGAGTTCAGCACTAAACGTGCTTTTGTCGAGTGAAGACAGAACCTGACATTAAGTCAGTTCAGGCAGGTTCGATGCTTCACACTGAATTGTGTCAGTTTGTGAAACCACATGACAGCTTCCGAGCAGGACTTCATCTCCCATGTTGCCCCTGTGTCTCACACTCTGGCGCTCACCGGTTCCCCGCGTCTGCAGTGTTTCTGTGTTTGGTTGTCTACACACCGCTCACTTGAGACAGAAAGCAAAAAGGGGAGAGCCATGATTGGACGACCTCAATCAGTAAAAAGGAGGTTAAAAAATGATGTCATGAGCGTCGCCGTTAGGCCGCGGCCTGTTCGCAAGAGGCGGGAGAGGCTTCTTGAAAAAATCTGTGGAGGGGGTGAAAAACAAGGTTTGTCTATGTTAGTGAACTACGTCCGTGGAGTCCTGGAATAAAAACACAGTCAATTAGAGCTCTATCTATAACAGCATAAATAAAAAGAGAATTAGCCATGGCGGCTGCTGCACAGAAGCAGATGAGATATGTCGACTGGGAGGGAAAATATAGATGAATACACAGACAAGCCTTTGAGTTGATTAAAGACGTCTGGCAGCATGAAGGATCCACACACATTCAAACATATGCCTGATGAGATGCAGAGAGAGAGAGAGAGACAGTGATGTGGGTCGGGGCTGCTAATTAACAGTCAACACACATTTAAGCCAGATAGAGTTCAGTGTTTCCTCTGCAACGCCACATCCAGGAATTTAACACCACTGCTGTGAAACTATAAAAATCCACCAGGCTTTAAAGTATCACCCTTAGAAAAACTAAGGCAGTGCTGCTGAGTAGTTTCACTTTATATGATAAAGATAACAAAGAAAAAAAGTGCTAGAACGCATTACAGCACAGAGGAAACACTGACTCAGCGCCAGGACAGTTGGTGAATAAATGAATCCACATACAGACCAGGTTAGTGAGAGTGAATGGCTTTAGAACAAAAAGGGAGAAATGAATAAAATCAAACAGTGGTTAAGTGAGAGGGATGAAGACTGACTGGACTTCACAGCGTCTTTACCAGAATGTCTCGAGTCCCCGAGTGGTTCTAGTTTTGGCAGTCTAGAAACTTTTGGTGTGGCCCATCCAACTAAAAACAAAACAATAAACACAAATTAGGACAAATCCTGAAAAAAAAAATTAAAGTTTTAAGTGTTTTAAGTTTTGCGCACTCAAATCTATTGTATTCAATGTGGCAAGCGTGCTCAAACGCCAGAATGACTTTGTCATGACGTGCAAGTGCTCCCAAGGGCCTATTTTTCCCTACCTTCGGGGGAAAAACAATGGACCAGATGTCTTAGTTAGCTGGACCCAAGAGCGCTAGCGTGCATGTGGGTGTGTCAAGCGTGCGGTAACGGTCCCCACTGTCCTTGGGTCTCGAAGGGAAATGCAATGAGTGAGGTACTTGTACCCATTACTCCATTCTTCCCAATGAAGTTGCTTCAGCGAGACCCGCTACCTGTGACAGTGTAGTATCCTCGCAGTGCCTAGGGTTTTCACCCAAAGGGCAGGCAGCACGTGAGGACGCTCTACCGGTTAGAGTCTCATGTGAAGCCGAGCTGGGCTTTGGCGCAGATAAGGTGCCTGTCCCATTTCTACCCCTTGAATCTTCCACGTGGTATTGAGTGCCCTCGTTTGCAAGATAACCCTTGATGAGGGAAGTGAGAAATATTAGGGTAGAGATCTTTCCCTAAGAAATGGGACACCACTTCATGCAAGTCGGCGTGGCCGATGTGCAGGCATATGTCACACGTAGTAGCGACGCAATGAAAATGCTGGCTCCAGCGCTTGTATTGTGGCGTGTGCTATGTTTATTCTTCTCCGTCTGATGAATCAACAGAGAAGAAATGCTGAAAACAGGAGGCGCCTATGACGTCTTCTAGTTCTGATCGATTTTGTTCGGGTAAGTCGATTTGTTTAAATATTTTGATGCTGTGTTCAACCGAGTTGCTGATGAGTTTACGCTAGTCCTACCATCTGTTGTTTGTATAGCCTACATTCCCATTGTACAGTAACAAATTGTTTTCCAAAACTAGCTGAATTTGCTGACTTCATCTTCCACTTCGTTCTAAGTGTGGGTCGGGGCTCTTTTGGAATCTAGGGCAGAGTGTTGGAAACCACTTTCACTACCTCAATTCTGTTTTGGGACAACACCAGCCTAAATGTGAACACGCACAACCAAGTGCAAGTGGGTATTTCTAGGGGAAGTGTGGGTATTGGGACAGGCCCAAGGACAAGATAAGATGGCTTAACTATGTACTCCTTTGCCATAAGGTAGACTGCTCAAAACAGCTAACGCCAGCTAGCTTTTGGAGTTGTTTTTGGAGTTTAACTGTGTATGTGTAGACACGGCCTGAATTGAAGTATGACAAGTTCTGCTACCAAGGTGGCTAATATGTAGCATTTTCAATAGCTACTTCACAATAAATGCCTCTTCCTGGTTCATAAGTAGGAAAACTTTAAATGTGCAGCAGCAGGAAATGCTCAGTTTGTGCTAGCTGTGACGTCACACAGCTCTGATACGACTGAAAGTGAACAGTAAACACTTTGATTAAGCTGATATTGAAAGTAGGAACAGGAACGTAGGAGTTAAACTCAATAGGAAGCTACTAAACTAGTTTTAAGAGGCAGACTGACCTGGAGGAGGTGGAGGGGTGGGGCTCTCTGCTGGCCCCTCCTCTGTCCTCAGCGGGTCCACCCTGTGCTTCCTCTTCAGGTGCAGCTTCCTCGTCTTCTTTTTGTCTTGCTCGCCTGTTGTGGCTGTCAGCACAGAGACATTTAATAAGGCATGAATTGGATGAAAAATCCAGATGTTCAAACTGGATCACATTAATAAAAATCAAATAGAAGTGGCTCCTCCCTTCTGCTTTCACCACTAGACTTGAGCAATTACCAACTGCTTCCCACAGCCATCTTTTATCGCTTAATTATCATGTAATTAATTATGTTTATCTATCAGACAGTCAGCACTTGGAGCCTGGGAGAGAAAAAAAGGATTCATATCAGATGTTAATTTCACTGGATATCTCTCTCACATTTTGAAACATCTCACACAAATATTTTTTGCAGTCTCTGGGTGTTTGTTTAATCATTTGCTTTCAAAGTGAAAACAGATTTAATATCTTACTTTATTTATTTATCTACAAGCTCTGACTTTTTTCCCCCCATATGGTACAAAGCCGAACCACAAGCTGTGAGGAAAGACTCTTCAAATAGGTGCCCGCTGCCCTCACTTCTTAACAGATAATAATTGTATCTGTCATAATTACATAACTCCTAAATTAATATCTTGGCAGAAAGCACATTTTATAAAACCACTGAACTATTTGCCAAGTGACTGAAATCATGGGGTGGTGTCCAATCAATCAGGCTCACATTTGCTGCTTTTCCCAGTCGTAAATACATATACAGTTATAAATTTAACTTCACGCTCACCTGAGCTGGCATTTTCCGGCGTTTGTCTTGTGTCGTCTGGCTCTTCATCTTCCTCATACTCCTCTTCCTCCTGATCAGCATCCGTCTTCGGGCTGTTGGTCCTGGTCTCCTGCAGCTCTCTTTGCCTCCTCCTCTCCTTTTCTTTATCCTCATTCTGAAAGGAACATGAAAGCCAGAAGTTATCTTCTTTCCAGTGCTTTGTGCAACAGAAGTTTTAACTTTGACTAGTTTTAAAGTAAGAAAAACACACAGAAAGCGGCCCATATACACCGACATACACAGCAGTCTCACACCTCAGAGATCACGTTGCTGATTGGCTGGAAGGGGCTGGGCATGTTTTCATCATCAAGCTCCTCTTCCTGAATCTGCCTGCCCTCACGTTCTGCTTCTTCCCGTTCTTGCCGTTCTCTATAGACAGAACATGATGTTAACTGTTTGGTTTAGTGTCACTGTTCAGATTTAATTACAGTTATGTTCCTCTTTTGGAATAAATGTGTGTTGTGTCTTTTTTATTGTTCCTCAGTGTAAGAAAGCATGGTTAAATCATTTTTTATGTGTTGTGCAGACAGGGAGATTGCACACTTTGCCATTTTGACAATTCACTCTAACCAACCTGTCTCATCCTGACAGATCATCCGCTTTCTCTATTAGGACAGTGACACAAGAGTTTGATCGTGTCCTCACCTCTCCGCTCGTATCCGCCGCACTCTCTCCGCCCTCTCCTTCTTGTCCTGGTCCTCCTGAGCGCGCTGCTCAGCTGTGTCCTTCTGCACACGCTCAGTAATGGCCTCGTAGTCTTTGGCAATGTTGTTGAGGAGCCACTTCAGGCCCTTCTTGATGGACTTGTCCACCTTTTTGCCGTAGCCTAGAACGGCAGAGCATGGCTCCTGGGGTAGGAACATACATAAAGAGATGATGATGAGACCTCAGAAGCACCTCTCATAAATTTTTTAAAAAAAAAATACAAACTTGATACTGATGCACATTTAGTTCTACAAGATACTTTGGATGAAAGCAGCCACCAGACTATCTATCTTGCTATCTTGAAGAGATAGGGCGGATTTTTTGAAGTAGGGTTGTATGAGGTACTTATCCATAGTCAGTGTATTACAAACAGTCGATGGCCGTTGGCTTGACCCTGCTTGGAGAAACAGGCAGGAGTCTGACATGGAAGCTAAGCAAAGAAGCAAAACGAATGTTTGCCAGCTAAAAAAAAGCCCAACTGAAAAAATCTCTAACTGTTAAAGTGTTCACGATATTGAGAGTATTTTCACAGCTTTACTTAACGGTCATACAGCATTTTTCAACAGGGAAATGAAGCCGTTACATCGCTCTTATCAAGGCCAAACTCCATTGAGAAAAACAGTAATTTTACATCAATGAACAGGGAGCTGCTGGTCTACCACTGCCACTATGATTAGTTTGTTTGTGTTAATATGTGACTTATGCAAATTAAAGGAGTTAGTTTGGATTCACAGAAGTTAGACAATTACACAAACAAACCAAATGATGGAGTCATCGGAAGTTCGGGCAGCTCCCGTCTTCAGCAAGCTAAAATTGCTGTTTTTGTGAATGGAGTCTGGTGGCTTTGACAAGAGCATAGATGGGGAAGTGATGCTCCTCCAAACTGGGGGCATGCTGACAGCTATCAACTGTATGTAATGTAATGAATATAGTTAAGTACCCCATACAACCCCACTTCAATTAATTACATTACTATCCCTTTAAGCTGACCTTTGCTTAAGATGGAATATGAGCCGTTTTCTAAAAACAAGCCTGGCTCTTTATCTACATTTGGGTGAAACCTCAGTTAAACCCAATGCCCTTAATGTCACTCAACTGCTGCTCCACAACAGGTGCACAGACACTTACGATCTGACAGAGACACTTGTTCTCGTTAACAAGCTTCTCTAACGACAGGTTCTCAATGATGTCTGCTTCAGCCAGCGCTCCCTCTTGGTCTTGTTTGTTGGCGAGCCTAAAAGCAGCTAAGGAATAACGATATTAATGTTGGGAAGAAAAAGCTAAACAAAATTTGCAAGCGTTCTCCTGTGACTTGACTAGACCAGCTGCAGGTGCGACCAACTCAGTGTTTGAGAAGAAAGATAAAGCAGCTGCAAGGAGGGTTACCAAACAATCTTTGCATAGTTGCTTAGTGGCTGGAAATCTTATGGAAATATGACTCTGTCCTGATTGTGGATTGTTGATTACGACACTATCTGCATACCTGGAGAAATTAAAGAATAAAAAAAAAAAAAATTAAAAAAAACTCTCTGTGCCTCAGTTGTGTCCTGATTACTGATTAAGGAATCAACCTGCAGTGCACGTATATGCTGCAACAAATTGGACCAAGGACTCAAGACTTTAAGGCCAGGCAATTTCTCTGTTAACACTATATCTTTTACGCCCTGCCCTCTGTGCTTTCATAAGTCACACATACATCTGCCAACATTAATAACACACAAGGTTATGATTTTTTTAGCCTTTGTCGAGTTTAACTCCCTTGGATGAAAGGACACTCACACTAGCACAGGTTTCCCTGCGATGCGCGGGTGCTGGAGGACCTCAGCCATGGTCTCCCGCGTCTCTTGGATCCTCTGGACGTCGCTGGAGTCCACCACAAACACCACGCCGTGTGACTCTGAGTAGTAGTTCTTCCAGATGCCCCGGATTCTCTTCCCACCACCCAGGTCAAAGATGGTCACCTCGAATTTGCCCTGCTTCAAGTCAACCTTAGAAAAACCCACTGTAGGAGCGACATCCTGGGGATTATCTGCCAAAAATAAAAAAACAGAAATCATGTTAGCAGAGGCAGACAACTTTTGTATAAAATATGTGTTAGCAGTGATAGCAGCGAGGCATAACTGTCAAGCAGCTTGATGTAAAATAAACATGATGATGAACAGTAAACAGAAGACTAAGTGAGGCATAACAAGACAGAGATAACAGTTTAGAAACTCAAGTTTTCTATTATTTACAAAGATTTTTTTAGAACAAGAAAAATGTGGAAAACACCGAATCCTGTATACATTATTAACATTTAAAACAAACAATCCTGACCTCCTTGGATTCCTCGTACTGTGGCTGTCTTCCCGGCATTATCTAGTCCCACCATAACCAGAGTCACTTTCCTGTAAGGTCAGAAAGGGAAAAATAAATACACATGAACAGAGACATCACTATCACTCACCTCCTGGAGCTTAGGTTAGAGGTGAGGCAGAAGGAGAAGCATCATATGCCGTCAGTAGCGGTGAAGAAGCTAGCTGGGATAAGCTCTCGTGATGCATTTGGGGGCACTTATAAGCCAATTAATTATCTGAATGACCAACGCAATCACAGATCTGTACAGAGTGAGTCAGCAGCAGTCACATGGACAGCTACCACAAATAAACCAAAAGAGAGATACAGTACATTTGCTCAAGGCAATATTATTACACATGGCTACATTAATAATATTTGGCCAATTATGGAATATGGTTTCTCTGTGTTCTGTTCACCTAGAGTCATTTGCTGCATCCATTTTTAATATATTTGTACTGAGACTTAACAATGCATGCTGGTATTGGACACTACAAGTGCTCAAACAGCTTGGTGTATCCTGAGAAGCAACACAGGCACAGACATCCCAACAAGTATGCAAGCATGCACACACCTGAACAATAGCCTGGGGCAGGGCATCAACATGTGTCTCAAAAGTTCAAGTACTCTCACTTACTCATGCAAAGTTACCGTTGTAGTCAGGATGTTAATATGCAAGTGTAACTTTTTAGACAGCAATGCAAGATTTCCACCATAAACAGGAATATAATCACAGCCTGGCACATTTAGCCCCAATTAACGTGTCCAAAATTTAAATAACATGTATTTGCAATTTAACATATACTTGCTGTCATAATGATACAGACGGATCTGGGGCCACTTTCTGAATACACCTTTCAAGACAAAGATATAGCTAGAAATAAGGCATATCCTTTAATCATAACAGGACTCTTTGCGTTTATATTAAAGCTACTGGCATTAAATCTCGTCTAGAGGGAAAATGACTAAAACAGAAAATATAAAACACGAGCTAGAACTGAGTCCACTCAGTAAACACACACTGAAACTGAGAAAAGACTGCAAAGACCTAAGAAGAGATGCACACAGAACTATATCGCATGCATAAACAACACCTGCTTTGTCTCCTGGACGCATACTTAACTTTGACACTTGCGCCGAAAAGACATCAACCGCACAATCCATCTAACTGTCCTCTCGAGCCAAGTGGCCTTCATCGGGGCAGCCGCTTGTTGTAACCCTCCTAAAAGGTGAGATACTGTTTGGCCCTTTGTCTGCAGCTAACCCATAAAGCTCTGTCTTCCTCGCTGCTACAAACCCCTCACAGCAACAGGCCAAAAGGAAGAGACCCGCTGAACAGACCTGGCTGTGGGATTAGGTGAGGATTTCTGACTAAGTCCAAAGGATCAGATGCCTCACAGGCACCACGTGGGTTAAGCACTCGCAATTACATTTTGCTGGCCCTGCTGCTTCACACTCAGAATGTTTTATGTGCTCTGTGTCCAGTCACAAAGGGATGCTCAGCTAAAAAATACTGAGAGTACAGACTGAGAGGCTTGAGGCGTGTTCAGAAAAAGTACAGAGCAGAACAGGAACACTGTATCATTTCTAAGCCAAGGTGAATCACTGAGATAAGATGCGAATATGATTATTTTCATGATTTATCTACCACATATTTTCTAATGTTTGCTCTTTAAAATGTCACACAGTAGGGAAGGCAAGGGAAATGCATTTGTAAAGCACCTTTTAACAACAAGACAATTTAAAGTGCTTTACAGAAAGCATACATATAGATATCTTTCTGTCGGCATAACTGTAAATCAGCTGATAGTTTCAGCTCTATTATTAAGCCTCTGTTATTTACCATATTGTACATCATCCACTTAATATCATAACTAAAGACACACAGTATTTCAAACAAAACAAAAGGATCTCCATCATTACAAAACAAAATGTTTGCAGTGTGAGAGGCAGGCCCTTTACAAGAGTCCAACAAAGTGTTTTCTTTGCATTTTATTTGGCTTGGATGCTACAAGATAGATAAAATATAATGGACATTAATGGACATGATGGGCAGTAATCACGTCCCCTGTATTACTTTGGTTAAATCCACTTAATTTAGATCTGTCTGATCTGTCAGTGGTTGATGATGTGTGAACAAAAAGTGGATTTTAATGAACTGCTTTGACCCAAAACATCACATCAGTTGTATGATAGATTACAGGCTGGACTTCAACATCCAATGACGGCCCCTTCTAGCAAACTACTGAAACACACTGATTTGAGCTAAGACAGGAGGGATGGCAGATTTTTGCATCATAATAAAACCAAACTTACCTTGCAGGCTCTCGCCAGCGTTTCAGCCAGTTGCAGCAATTCGCCATCAGGCTAAACATCGCAGTCTGAGTCCAGATGACTGTGATCAAGTGGTCATCCAGCCAGAAGCGTCACACCACTATCCGACCCTGTTTAGCCAGCTGATCGATTCTTAACCTATATTGGCTACATAGCGAGCTAACTCATGATAGCAGCGACGTTAGCAGCGTATAAAAACAGTCCGCGTACACAGCACTGATGTACCAAGGGGTTGTGTTGTTAATAAAAGTTTTTTCAAATAACATCCATCTCCAGAAACACAAAATCCGTGTCCCGTTACCTAAGGTTAGCTAAAGCTAATGTAGCTAGCAATAACGGTTTCTTGTTAACTCGTTTAATTTCAGTCCCAGCGCACAAGTCAGTCTGTCACCACGCGAATGAAAGCTGTACTCAATCATAAAATAAAACAGGGTTTCATATTATAACGGAATGCAGCTACAATAAGTATTTTACTCACGAAGGATGAGCTAACGTTAGCGTTAGCTGACTTGTAGCTCTTTGCTTTGTTTACGCCGTCTTTTCTGCTGCTAGGCTGCGGACGTGCCTACGTCATCTTACGTAATCAATAAATCAGCGTCGTTCTAAAATCTGTGAAATAATATATGTATTTATTTACTGCAAAACTGTGCAGTAATACACAACAACTACACACATATGTGCCAAAGATTAAGGTGTAAATAAATTATAAAATATACAACTTTATAGTTTACATAAACGCTGGATTTTTAAATTATTATTGTTTCCTTAATTAAATAAAAGAATATAGCACAGATTCAGCACAGCCTACAAAGAATAATATAAAAATAATACAAAATTTAAAAAAAAGTCAGGGGTATCTCACACTGGACAGAAATATTAGGCAATAAAACAAATTAATAAATATTAATAAGAAAGTAGTTTCATATATTGCTGAACATTATTCAAGAAAAAAATGTTTATTTTAAATGTATTAATACATTTTTCCCCAACATTATTATTCTGACTCTAGTGGTAACACCCAAATTGAGTTTTGCATTGATACAGACTTCATGATTATGATTCTATAGGCCTACCTCATTATTTTATTAACTTTCTACTCCATATTATAACTGCTTTGTTTTATTTTATGTTGTCTGGATACATTACTGCTTGTTTTATAACTGTCTTGTGAGATGCCTCTTATTGGGGTTCTGTCCACGAAGTGAAAATGTCCGCAAAAGTACCTGAATCACACCCTGAAAGTTTTATTCAGCACATAATTCCACAACCTTTTGGTCAATCATCACAAACCTTGCAAGCAAAAGTTCCATTGAAATGGACCACTAGGGGGCACCACACATGCAAAAAATAAGATTGGGAAAACACAAATCAGACTAGAAATCAGAAATTGACTGTCCAATCATTATAAAACTTGCAGGGTATGTTAAACAATAATGATTATTTATATATATAATTATTTAGAAATCAGTAAATAGGGGACGCCACCTGTTCCAAACAAGTGCAATGGTCTTTCTTAAAATTTGGCCAAAAATCAATGAGGGTTTGATCAATCATCACCAAACTCAGTGGACTTTTTAACTCAGCCATTAAAGAATGTCCTCAAAATGTTTTGCCAGTTTCCAAAGAAGAGCGTGGCCTGAGAGAGATTTGGACTCTAATGAATGAGTATCTGTCTGATTGTCATCAAACTTGTTGTGTATGTTTAATGCAGGCATCCTAAATTGTCAAAGGTCTTGATCTTACACAGCTTTCAACTTTTAAAGGTGCATGCTGGCTTGAAACCCGGAATAGCCACTTGAGGCTATATTTATGATTATCATTATTAATTATAAAAAGAAATATTTGTCTTCTTTTCCTATCTGTCTTTTATTATCAGTTTGCAGTGCTGTATGATCATCAACACATTAACCATCTTTAAATTAGTTTATCTGATATTTGCTACATCCCCATCTAGTGCTGCAGATATATCTTTTCTTTTACAGAATAAATATTTTCTGGTGAACTTCAACCAGTAACAACAACAACAAAGAACTGAAGGAATTTTACAAGGTATTGAGAAAAGCACAAAAATCCAAAGTTGCTTAAACTTTCTTCAAAGGATAGCCTGAGCTAAAATGGCACATGCAATTCTTAGAAAAGGGATGACAAAAAAGGAAATGACTGACGTAATTCAGCTGAATGCAAAACCCATAAAGAGTGAAGTACAGCATGTCACCAGAATCAGTGATTCTCCTTCTTTCCACCAAAGTGAAAGTATATCAGAAACTTGTGGCTTCTGCAGTTAGTCTTTTTTCCTCCACATGAGACTGAATGTCAAGTGTCTGTTAAGGCAATGATGGATGCACTTTAAATCCTGGGCTGAGTTTTTGTCCCAGATCAACTGTGAGTCTACAGTCACAGGAGTGGGGCAGGATGAAGAGTGAGTGTCAGAGTAAAACTACAACTGCTGCACTCATAATACCACAGTAATAACCTTTATATGTTTACTGGGATCCAGTGAGGTAACTGGCTGAATGGACAGTAATGAGGCCGTTGTCCTGTTGGCTCCTGTTTACCAAAGTATTTAAGAGGTGCTGAACTCATGAAGGAACTTTAAAGCCAGAGTGTAATTCTCTTTAATGTTTTCCTCTGCTGAGACCTTATTATTGTTGCAGGGTCTTGTAATATTTCTGTTACATTAAGTGGGTTTTTAATGGAGCCAGCAGTGCAAATCTCCCTTTTATTGTAGATGAGTAATTACTGATCATTGCTTTGTTTTCTCCTCTTTAGTTTACAGCCCTATCTGCAAAGACTGTAATTAGCAGTGGATGTTTTTATAGTATATACAAGTTATGTGTTTAGAATATATAGGTGGTTGCTTTATTACTTTTTAAATTATTATCATTTGCTTCTTGGCTTCTTGGCTTTTTAAGTGAGTGGGTTTTATTGTGTTTATTGTGTTTATTGTGTTTGTCTTATTCACTCAGTATTTTAAATTAAACATTCAGTTTGTTCACTCTCAGTGTCCTCTCACTTCATTGCTTTTCTTTGGATGTTTTATTTATTGTTATTATTATTATTATTAGAGCTGCCTTATTGTTATTATTATTATTATTATTATTGTTTTATCTTATTTTATTTATTTATTTAATTTGTAATGTCAGATCAAACTCGTTGCTCTGAGATGAGTGCTATTTCTGTGTATTTTTTGCTACTACTACTAGTAATAAAAATGATGATAATAATAATAATAATAATAATAACAATAATAATATAGCACCTTTTGTACACAAAAAGCAGCTCAGAATTTATTATTTGAAACATTAAAATATATTTAATAAATAAAATTTAACGTTATTATTAGTGGTAGAAGTAGTAAGAGTAGTAGTAGTATCATTATGTTTAATTTCTTAGATCAAACTCATTGCTCTGAGCTGAATGCTACTCTTCTGCAATTTTTACTACTACTACTACTACTACTACTAATAGTAATAATAATAATAATAATATAGCGCCTCTAGTACACAAAATTCAGGAGAATTAAATATTAAAAATATTAAAACCTATTTTAAAAAATAACATTTGACAGTAAAAAAAATAAACTATGATAATAATAAAATGTTAATAATACAGCAACAACAGCAATTATCATTACCAAACATTATTTAAATCATATTTTAAGACTGACCAGACGTTAACAATAGTAATTATTTTTCAATTTATAAATAGATTAAAAACATAAAATGACATGACAAAAAAAAGCTGATATTACCTAAGCAAAATAAAAAAAACAACTCATGATGCCCATTAAATTATTGGTGTATACTTATTAGTTGCCTCTAAAAAAATAAACACTAAAATGGAAATAAGCAAGTAAAGCACAAATACCTCAAATTTTAACTTATTAAAGTACTAAAAAAATGTACATAGTTACATCTTCCCACTATTTTTTTATCACGACACCAGGGCTTAGCTAAGTCTTCACTGCGCATGCGTTGTTTACACAGCTCCTAAAACAAGTGAGGAAGCAATTTGTCAAGCCGAACGAGTCATTCTGGTTTTGATGAAGCGACGACCCTTCATCTCCATCACATCCCTGGTAAGACTGTTCTCCTATAGTGTCTAATGTATATTATAGGAACATTATGTTCTTTAGCCGTTTTGAGTTGTAAAACAGTTCACATATGCGCAATGGACGTGGCTTTCCTTTTTTTTGACGTCGGTTTTTATACGTCACGGCTGACCCTACAGGCAACAATGTCAATACGTATTGCAGAGTCATTGTAATGAATGAGGCTGTCAGGTGCGTCTGTTACCTGTAAGCACCTTACTTGTGTGCATTTACGTGCGTAGCTTGATACATTCACCGGCCACTTTATTAGGTACACTGTTCAACTTCCAGTTAACGCAAATAGCGAATCAGCCAACAAAGCAGTGGTGCAGATAAGGGTATACGCAAGTGCATGTGGTACACCCACGTTGTTTTCTGGCTGTTTACAGTATACCCACCTATCACCCAAAAAGCCAATGGAATATATAGGAGTGTATACCCACTTCCTTCACAGTAACCTACCCATCAGCTACCACTGCACCACTGTAACAAAGTATTTCCTCACTGTAGTAAAAATGGTATTTCTTCCATTTCTAGTATTTACTGCATCTCCTTTTCTGCATACTTTGTTGTTGGATGACATCTCATCCTTAATTATCTTACAACCTTTGAGCTTAGAGATTATCTCTGACAGTGAATTAATTATTGAGCTGATGCACTTTGCAGTAATGAAGTCCAAAGAGCTCCAATAAAAGCAGGTGTTAATGTCGCAGAGACACTTCTGCATCTTAAACATATAAATAATGTCAGCGGAACAAACAGGGAGAGACGGTGCCTCACTTTTGAGACAACTGTGGAACGTGTACGACAAACCATAAAGCATGCAATCTGCATTGTCAAACCAGTTATGCACCACCAGAGCTATAGGCTAGGTGCTGTTAAGACTTGCACATGTAGACGTATAGGCGGCACCACTTGTAGTGTAGAAAATGTTATATGAGCCGTCTTGGCAGGTTGTTCAGCCAGCTGTAGTTAAATAACCCCTTTACTTCCTTGTTGTATTTTACAGGTGTCTGCCCTCCTGCATCCACATGGCTCGTGTCTTCGTCTATGGCACCCTGAAGAAAGGGCAGCCCAACTACTACCGCATGTTTGAGAGCATCAACGGTAAGGCGGAGTTCCTCGCCTCGGCCCGCACCATCCAGAAATACCCTCTAGTGATCGCCGGCAAGTACAACGTCCCTTTCCTCCTCAACATCCCGGGCCAGGGTCACCGAGTCCGAGGAGAGATCTACAAAGTGGACAACAAGATGCTGAAATTTCTGGATGACTTTGAAACAGTTCCCACCATGTACCAGCGGACTCTGGTCAAACTGGAGGTGGAGGAGTGGGCGGGGGAGACAGAGGGAGAGGAGAGGCTGAAAGCAGGAAGCATTACTGAGGCGTTTGTGTACAGCACAACGACATACGAGCCAGACTGGCCTTCACTGCCATGCTATGAGAGCTATGATTCTTTTGGAGATCATGGGCTTGAATATGTGTACAGAGAGGCACGGGACTGATGTAGCTCGCTGGAATAAGTAGTAAGTAGAGTAGATCCAAGAAGATAGCAAATATGATCCAAGAAGCCTTCCTGTCTTCTACCTCTGTACCAATCAGCCTCCAGATATTGTCAAGGAAGTATGTGGAGGCCATCTATCAATGACATCTCAAGAAAATCATACTTGAAATCACTTCTGTGTCTATTTTTTTAGATCGTTATCAAGATTTGTGTTGGTCCAGGTCCTACAGTATGTACGGTATCTTTCAAAATCAACCCTCTAAATGCATTTCAGTTTGTTTTCCTCTTTTACAAACCTCAACACACACACTCCTATGATGTCAATATGTAACTCCTTGCAGGTCTTTGATTTATTTGTCTCATTGTAATTACAGTTGAAAAGGGCATTAGTCATGCGTCCTGTATGTGTTTTATGCTCCAGTTTCTCACAAGGATCAAGTTGCAAAAAATATTTGGTGTTCTGAGGCACCCAAATACTTTGGAAGGTGTGAATAAAACGTCTGGCACACCTGTGACATGTTTGTCAGCTATCTTTTATGACCGATGACAACTGATAAGGAGTGGAAGGATATCTGGTGACATGTAAAATTGGTTTCAGTCTGCAAACATGACAAAGCAAATCAGTTTATACACAGAAGGCATCTAAACCCCAACCTTAGGCATCATTTCAGTGCTGCTCTGTTACCCATGTGCCTTAAAGGACAACTTCACCTCCCAGATGACCATGTGTATATCAGATATTCTCCCTATGTTACGTTGAATTTGTGAAGAAAACTTTGTTTTTCTCGCATGCCTCCACAGTGCACAAAGAATCCAAAAACAGGGGAAATTCATGATGAATTGAAGTCATAGGGGTCCAGGGTTATCAACAGCAAAGCTACAGCAAAACTCCAATAAACCGCCTAGTCCCTTTTACTAGCCTGGTGTGGCTACACATTTTGACTAAAACGCCTGTCTCAATTAGATGCCTGGTCTGATTACTAAGCAGTTAATTTCTATAGAAGTTGTTTGGATGTATAAAACCAGGTTGAGCTATTGTTAGTTAGCCGTTTAGATCACACATATGTATATCCTCTTGAGACCCTTGGTTAGCATTTTTGATTTCTCCTAGCTATTTGGGATCAGTAGGACCTGATAAGTATAAAAAACTAAACATTGTCAACAATAATAAAGTGTCAGCGTCCCCAAATGAGACGATAATAAAATCCCAATATCCTCAAACGAGTACTTCCTAATTAACAGCGTCTCAGCTTGTTACTGTTGCTAAAATTGGTCAAATTTGTTTCCATATCAAACTGCAAACATTATTTATGATAAATAAACAAGTTTCATTCATAAAATGTGATCAGGTTTTGGACCTTGTCCACTTTTGTGTTGGGATTGGCTGCAGAGTGATTTGGTAGAGATGGCTGCCATCTTGTTTTTACATGGACTAGTGTATTGTGCTCTACTAGATGGCACAAAAAAGTGTCCACGAATGAGGAATCCCCGGGTGCTGTAAAAGAAGTGTCATAAATCTCTCTGATGCACTGTCTGTCAGAGCTAAATCAAATGATACATAATTGATATGTTATTCAAAGCCTAATTTCTGCAAAAGTAATTTTTATATTGTAAGGTAGCTAAGCCTAAACTTAAAGCCACTAAGGGCCTGCACAGACAGGCTGATTACATTTGACGCGCTCACCTGACCAAACTGACAGCTGCTCATGCATAATTTATTTCTCACCGCTGGAGTCTTCAATGAAAAACTTTCATTCGTGAATCTGTGTCCATAAACCATTCAAAGGTACAAATTTTCAATAACTCTTCAAAGTCAGACCTCATTGACAAAAGCAGTCATTTTACCTTGCTGAACATAAGACCTGCTGGTCTACCACTGCCTCAATCAGTTAGTTTGTTACTGTGTGACTTTGGTGTATTAAAGGGTAAGTTGGGATTCACCAAAGTCACACAGTAACACAAACAAACTACCACACACAAAAGATATTTGATATTTCCTGTCAGGTGCTCAACTCATGAATGGATCAGTTGGTGATAAACCTATTCTAGAAGGTATGAATAAAATGTCTGCCACACCTAAAAACTACCTGTGTTAATGTCTCAGCTGGCACATGGGAGAGGAAGTAAATTTAATTAAAAAGAACATCACTGATGACTGCTTTCCCAGACATCTCTGCTCAGGCAATAGAAGTATGTGACAAGAGCTAGGTTACAAAAAGTGAAGTGGGAGGACCTCTGTTTGTCAATCAACTTTCCAGATGTATTAGTAGCAACCTGTGTCTATAAGAACAGTCTTTTTCCAGTGTTTGTGCACACTGAAGTCCAGATCTTCACCCAGGTGAGTGTCTCTCTGTGCAGACTCATCAGTAAAAGTCTTTCCTGATGCTTGGCAGGGAGCGGCTGCCATCCACCTTAAAAAATATGTTGTTTATGTTGTTATTATGTTATTTTATTACCTAAATTCATACAGTTTATGTAAATGTTGAATAGTAGTAATAGTAATAGTAGTGTATAGATTGACTATGCTAAGGTTATGTTAATGTCTTTTAAATGCTGAACTACAGGTGCATATATTTTTGTTTTTTCAGCTTGTGACAGTGCCATAATGCAGGTTTTAGTGCATATGTGTTAAAAAGTTGAGAAACAATGTTGTGCAGCTGAGATGCAGAGAAGTATTTTTTAATCTAGACCCTATTTTCTCATGTTTTTCTTAGTAACTAAAAAAACCCCTTCAAACCCCTTCACTCCCTTGCACTCCTGTATTTTACAGGTGTCTGTCCTCCTGCGTCCAAATGGCTCTTGTTTTCTTCTATGGCACCCTGAAGAAAGGGCAGCCCAACTACTACCGCATGATTGAGAGCGCCAACGGCAAGGCGGAGTTCCTCGCCTCGGCCCGCACCATCCAGAAATACCCTCTAGTGATCGCCGGTGAGCACAGCCTCCCTTTCCTCCTCAACATCCCGGGCCAGGGACGCCGAGTCCGAGGAGAGATTTACAAAGTAGATGACAAGATGCTGAAATACCTGGATGATTTTGAAATGGTTCCAGACATGTATCAGCGGACTCTGGTCGAACTGGAGGTGGAAGAGTGGGCGGGGGAGAGAGCAAGAGTGGAGAGGCTGAAATCAGGAAGCATTTCAGAGGTGTTTGTGTACAGCACGAAGATGTACGAGCCAGACTGGCCTTCACTACCATGCTATGAGAGCTATGACGCTTATGGAGATCATGGGCTCCAGTATGAGGCCAAAGAGACGGGACTGGTGTAGCAGATCCAAGTAGATAGAAATATGATCCACATAGTTTTCCTGTCTTCTACTTCTGTACTAATCAACCTCTAGATATTGTCAGCGAAGGAGGTGGAGGGCATTTATCAGTGACATCACACTTGAATACACTCCTGTGTCTAATTTTGACTTGTTGAGCTTTGTGTTGGTCCAGTTCCTACAATATGTATTGTATCTTTAAGAATCAAGCCTCTTAATGTGTTTTAGTTGATAACTTAGACAGTTTCTTCTTTTAAAAGGACTTAACGTCAACATACAGTCACATATGTTTGTAGATATATCGCCTTTATAATAATAATAAACAGAGTAATTACTATGATGTCACTGTGTAACTCCTTGCAGGTCTTTAATTGATTTGTCTCATTATAATTATAGTTAAAAAGGGAATTAATCATAATTCAAGCATTAAGCTAGAGACCATTTTGATCGATGAGATCACTCCAGCTGCAATGAAGTGATCCACAGCTCAAAACAAATGTGGACCAGAGGTGAAACTGGAATGGCACTGACACCTTCTCTATTTCCCCTCTACTTCTACCTGCTTTCTCAGACCACATAATCTTTCAAAACTGACCCTCATTTTGATCTCAACTACACACTTGTAAAGTTTTGGTGACACTGATTGATAACAGTAAAAATGGCTCAGTTCCATTAAGTATCTCAGTAAGCTATTCCAATGAACCAGCAGACACAATGCCAGGACCTCCCAAAAATGTCTGCAGTGATAAGGTCTTTCATTTCGCCATCATGACACACACTATGACTCACAAGGTGAAAACATTAATTGCTATTACAATAATGCCTTGTTGTTCAATAGTTGCACACATTCTTTGGAGGTCCAACAGCACCTGCAGGCTATGGTAGGTGTGAACAAAACTAATGCCACACCTAAAACAGGTCTGTCAGCTTTATGTCACAGTCAATGATAAAGAGTGAAAAGATATCTGGGGACACACAAAATTGGTTTTAGTCTGCAATCATACCAAAGTAATACAGTTTAAGACTAGAGCATATCTTGCAATGGAGAAAGGTGGTAGCCAATGGCCCCTTCCTACTTCCTACTCCCGTACATCCAGCCCCCTTACGTAGACGACACCCATCTTCAAACTAGACCTGCATTCTAATTTCAGCTAGACACCTCTAAAGTTTTGTGACTCTGTCTTGCACAGATGTGACACTTTGACAAAATCTGTCCATAGACGTAAAAACACCTAGTAAAATACTCAAAACAGCCTCTGTGACAGTTCTTGCACCATTTGGTGTTACCACATTTCGCAATGATACCATACACTCACAGTCTCACAAGATGAGAAGAATGCCAGCTGTTGCGACATTGTCATATCTGGTAAATACACCCAATGTTCTTACGCCCATGTGCCGACAGGAACTGTTGGTCTTACCCATTGTCTTGGGTCACAGTGTAAGCGAGGCAGTCTAAAAACCCCTCCCACTGGCTTGTGTTCAAGCAGCTCAGGAACTGCTGTACTGCTGTGTTAAGAAAGGCTAAGTCAGACAACTATTTACTCGCTTTCACCAGCTCCTCTCATGATCAGAGTCAATTTTGGACGTTTGTTAAATCAGCTTGGAAAAATAATATCTCTTTTCCAACTAACATTGATAATGTGCACACTCTTTTAACAGACGGAAAGGAAATCTGCTCTGCTTGAAACAGTCATTTTGCTGCCTCTGGACATCTTTTTAAAACCACTATAAGTAAACAGAATCATACCCTCGAACGTCAGGATAACCTGGGTAATAGAGTGTGCCAGGGCTGACGTCAAAACCCAGAAGTTTAGCATCGCGCTGGTTCCCGGAAGAGAAAGTGAATGTGATTTTTGCATTGTGTTTTTGTTTATGTCAGAAAATTAGTTCTGTGGCTAACACAAGTTTATGATACTTACAGGTTTTGTTCAGCGAGATAATCTTCACATATGAACACCTTTCATACCGCATTTGAAGCTTAAATGCAATCGCCAGAAGTAAAAAGCTAACGTTAGGCTTTAACGGACTTCATGACTACTCCACGGTCGCATGACTCTTGACGTCACCGCCACTAAGCTTTCAACTGATTTCGGCCGCTTTATTTTAAAAACATTGCATAATGGGGAAATCGGACTAAATAGGAAGCTGTAATGGCGGACTGCCAGCACTCTCGCCTGTTCGGGGGTGATGACGTTTAATGTCCCCAACAGGGTTTGTAGTCATATTGAGCAACTTGTTAGCAACCGCCTTTTTTACGACACGTAAAAGCTTCAAAATTCACAAGTAGGGTATTTACTGACGTGTTTTATGTCGTAGAACAAAACCTGAAACTCGCTTAAGCTTTTGTTAACCACAGACCTTATTTGAGGCATTTTACCAAAATCCCATTCAAAAAACATATTGACTTTTAGACGAGAGAACCGGAAGTGCTAAAAGCGCTAACGGAGTTCTGGGTTTACTGGCACACTCTAT